GGTTAACTCAGTAATGAAGACACACTGTACTTGTTACGTAAAGACAGTTGTACCTGCATCGTAGACAGGGCTTTAAAAAACAGAGTTCCAGCTAATCAAATGTTTCTAGGGCTCCAGAACAAAGGGAAAGAGATCCAGACTATGATGCCTGCACAGGATTACCTCTAAACACTGTTTTCCAAAGTTTCTCAAAAGGCTTCCGTGGCTCTTTAAAGGTCTGTGTAAAATCTGTCACAGTAGCGAAAATGGGTAAAATTACACAGCTTGTGGAAGAGATTAAAGGCGGACCCCTTCTGCTCACTTCATAAAGAAAGGACCCCATTAACACCTTGTGAAATATTAGCCATTAATCAGCTTCCACGCAGAATAAAACCATCAACATGTATCATTATCGGCTCCTTAATGAAGTGAGAATGGGAACGCTGGGGAGCTGGGATATTAATGTCTCCTAAGAGGCATGAGCAATGCCAAGGCCAGGAGCCAAGATTTTTAATTTACTGCCAAAAGCTTCCCCTGTTAATAATGTGGTTACTTATCCTGAACATTATCACTGTTTGGCCACAAGTGTTCCTTTTACAGAAGTGAGCTGGGCCCTCGGAAAGCATGTGGCCAGCTGCTGTGTCTGCCAATCCTCTCCCCCTTGGCCTCCTTACAGGCAGGAGGGGGCTGTACAGCCACTGAAATCTTCCCAGCAGTTGTACCTATTCCTACCCCTGCTTTGTTTCCCTTCTCACTTGCACTTCTGGACTTTCTTTATGGTTAGGAGTGTTCCTGGCTGCATACATATGCTGTATACACGTTTCCCTGGAGTTCCATAAAGGCACTATCCTCACGCCTCCACCTGCATCTCTCCCCTCAAGACCCACTTCCTCCAGATCCCAGGGAGGACAGGGTGAGGGGCTGTTCGATCTATTGCAGATGGCTAGTATCCGTTACCTTTTCTGTGCATAGAATGTATATATAATAATGTGTGTGTATGTGTATATCGATAGATACAGATATATTTTATTGTAAATTTCTCCCCCATTCTCTGTCACTTGTCTTACACTGTAAGCTCCTTGGGGCAGGGACCATGTCTTTTTATGTGTGTGTGTGGGGGGGGGGGGGGGGAGATCATCGAAACCTGGGTGTTACTATAATAATAAAATCATCATAAATAATTATAAACACAGATTCCAGTCTTTGCAGTTGTCTGACTAGATTGAAGTGGCTCTAATATCACTCCAGGATTACGTAGGCAAAACCCAGCTATAAAAAACCCCTCCCCTCAGAGTTCATGGAGACAAATTCATTATACTGCCAAAACAGCAATGATGCCTTCAAGGCTCTGAAGGTCAATCCATCACACCTCTGAGATACCTCCAACCTCTCTTGAACTTGGTGAAGGTAATAACAGTATTTAGCAGTTACATCCCACTTTGTGGCTCAAGGCATGATGAAAACATTAACTAATCAATCTTCAGAAACAAACCTGTGAGGTAGGTCAGTACTATTCCCCTGTTACAAATCAGAAGCTGAGGCAGCAAGAGGTTAAATAACTTACCTCTGATCTTGTTACTGGTAGAGCCAGGATTAGAACTCAGGAGCCTGAGTCTCCTTTCCCATGCTGCTTTTCAGCACAGGGAATATTTATCTCCCAGGACAGCAGGGATGGCCCGATAGCTACACAAATTGCAGTTAGGAAGAGATTCTGCTCTTAGTCACACTTGTGTAAATGCAGAGTAGCTCCTCTGAATTAAATAGAGCAAGCCAGATTATCATATCCACTAAGACCCCTTTACACTGTTCTGGCCTTAAGGTGGGTGTGGCCCCAGATTTAATGAAGATGAGAATCTAGCCCAATGACTCCACATTCATGCTGATGTGAGCAAGAGCAGGATCTGGGCTGGAGAGCAAGCTACCGCTGGAGTCTTCTGCTGCTGGTGAATGACTTTAGAGCCAGAGGGAGCTTTTTCCATCTTCTGCTCCCAGCTTTTATAATCTGAGTTATAACACAGATAGCTGCAGTTCTATGCTAAACACAGGAGGAAGAAATCACATCTCTTTCCAGTTCTATGGCAGCCAGGTTTGGAACCCAGGTGTGTGCACTACAGGGCAGCATGGTGAAGACGTGCAAGCCACTCACTGCGGTTAGCTCAGAGATGAAGCTTAGACTACACAGCTTGAAGAGTAAAAATGCTAATATAACCTCACTGTCCTTGCCCAATGCCCCCCATCCTGCTTTTTCCTCATTAAAACAGAAGGGATGAGTTGAACAACGTGTAAGGGAAAGGAAGCCAAGTGAATGAAGATGTGAAATGTGCTTCAAACAGCTGCATGCTTTCATCAGACCTTTTATCAGCCTTCCCCCTCCACAAGATGAGCTCATTTTAATCATTAGTGAAACGCTCCTGTTTAAAAAAGCAGGGCCGATGTGAGTGGTATGGTGTGTTAACAGCAGCTCAGGGAGTTCCCTTGAGGAGTGAATGCCAGACAAAGTTTTCAGAACTCGACTGCGAATGATCTCAGATCAGCATCTGCAAGGGCTCAAGCAATGCTTGGCAGTTAAAAAAGGCATCTTTTCCAGGGCTCTGAGTGCAAGGGTGGGAATATGGGGTTAGATTCTCAGCTGGTGTAAATGAGAATCATTCCATTGATGTCAGAGGAGCAGTGTCAATCTACACCAGATGAGAATCCGGCCTAGAATGTTTTTCTTTCCTGCTCTGAGGTTTGCCTCCCCGCTTTTTATTTTGCACAAATCCTCAAACATTTTTCTGTGCCTTTGACCACTCGCATGTTGCCATACGTTTCAGAGATCTCCTGTATAATACATCTGTTATGCTGCTAAATGTACTAGCTACATCCACGTAGAACATACGTAGGCTGCTGAGCATTCCAAGCCCCTTCAGGTAGAAGGCACCTGGTCAACTGCAGAATGTACCAGGTACCTCCAGGCAGAAAGCACCTGCTGTGCTGCCAAATGGGGTCCGTAACTCATATACACTGGCTACAGTGCTGAACATTTCAGATGCAGCAGAGTAGGTGTGCTCCATCTGGATGTTAGACGTACCAGGCCCAGCCTACCTTCCACTGCTGTCTATTAAATGATAATGGACAAGAACAGCAGAGCAGGTGCAGTAGAGTGCCAGCAACAAAATGGTTAAGGGCTAAATTTTTCACTCATTGTAGTTAACCCAACACGACTCCAGAGTGACTCCAGATTTACACTGGTTTAACAAAGAGCAGGATTAGGTGCTAAGTAACTAACATGGCTGTCCAACCAATTGTCCTCACCCCATAAACAAGCTCTTTGAACACATTCATTTTCCCTTTGCATTTATTCATGTTATTTTCACGGCAGTCATGCACAGGGACCCCAATCAGATGAGGGTCCCACTATGGTAGGCGCCACACACACAGGGAAATTCAAATGGCATTCTCCACTCCACTGAGAAACCTTCAAACACACACACTCCAGAACAAACTTTCCTCCACAGTCTGCACCCTGACGTATTCATGCCTCCAGTTTATCATATGTCGTAGGTCTCTAGCACCTTCCAGCAGTGGGTTTCAAAGCACTTTGCAACCACCAGCAAATTTAGCCTCACAAAACCCCTGGGATGTCAGTAAAGATGGTCACCCCCATTTTATAGAAGAAATTGAGCCTCAGAATGTTAGTGATTTGCCGAAGGTTATATATGGGAGTGTTAGCAGAGCTGGGATAGGATCTAGCTTGTCTGGTTCCCAAATCTATGCCTGAATCACAAGATCACACATCAGAACATAAGATCTGCCAGACTGGATCAGACTCAAGATCCATATAGTCCAGGATCTTGTCTCTGATAGTTACCAGTGCCCAGATGCCTCAGAGGAAGGTGCAAGAAATCCCTCAGTAGACATGTAGATAAAATCCTAATCTCTATTGCATAGGGATTGACTTAAAACCAAAAAGCATGAAGTTTTATATGCCCTCCAAAAATATTATTAGCATTAGCTATTCTTGGATATTCTTGTTATTATAAATGTCTAGTCCCTCTTTGAATCTTGCTAAGCATGACTGTGCAATGATTTCACTGTTTATGGCATTAATAGGATGGTATACTTATGTTGCAAAGTTAGATCAGCCACACGGCACAGCTACATCCATCTGCAAACCCTTTGAATCAACTGTTTTAAATCAGGGCTGGAATTTCAAGTGAGCTCAGCTCCCATTTAGGCACCGCAGTAAGCGGCCAGATCTTCATAAGAGATGAAGACGTTGACTGCTGTGCCCCTTAGAAAGCCTGGCCTCAGGTGTCACGTTGGGAACTGAGCGGGTATGACAAGGCAGGATCTGATTTTAATTTATGACAAAGCTGAAGTAGCTGGTGCTCCGCATTGTCCCAAAGGCTGGAGGGATCTGCTGTTTGACAGAGCAACAGCCCCAGCTGCTTTGCCCTTTGATCAGTGCAGCAATAGGGGTCAGGAGAGTTGAATTTACAGATTTTGTGGCCTTTTGTTCTATGGCGTTAGAGGAGTTAATCAGACCGACAGCGACTACTGACTTTATACAGTAAAAAGGTCAATGACTTAGGCTAGAGGCTGTATTGCTTTCTGACCGGTTTGGTGGTAATACTCTGAATGCATGTAACACACACACACACACACACACACACACACACACACACACACACACACACACACACACACACACACACACACACACACACAACAAGACGACGTAGGTAGG